TCAACCCACGTTGCCAACGGCCATGTCATCTCTACCTCCCACTCCCCACGAAAGGGACTCAGCCGTGCCAGGCCCCTCGTCTAGTATCTCACAAAGGCGACGAAACTCTCTGAGCAAGTTTCGAACCCCTATGTCGCGGGCTCTTACCCTCTCCAACCAAAACCAGAAGCTGTAGGCGAGGCCGAGCGAGCTGCACACACTTACCCGCACATGCCCAAGCCTCGCAAACCTACGTCCTTCTCCCCATTCCTGGCGTCTGACCTGTCATCGTGGAAAATTTTAACGCGCGGCTGAACGTCTCCTCCTCCTCCGGATCCGAAACGGCGACAAGACCTCCTGGCGGCAGAAGCGTGCCTGAGCACACTACCGGACATTCCCTCCTCGCAAAATACGCAGAACCGTGATGAGATGGGAGATGGCTAGGGCTTGGAAGTACATAGGTACATAGGTAGTTCTTGGATCTAAAGAGTACCAAAATTCCCATTCAAACGTCAAATCAATAACACCGAGGGATCGTAGCAAGAAAAGCCCGAGGCAGATTCGAGACACCATCCCATCCCGTCCCTCCCGAACGGCACCGGCGGTCCCGCAGCCCCCCACTTCTCCGCCCGACGGGCCCCTCCCAAGTCCGTCCACGATCCCGTCCGATCCGCCCGATCGATGGCCGCCGGGCCTTTCAATCACTGATTGAACAAAACAAGTTGCATAAACTCTCCCGGCCGAACTACCCGAATTAACCCGTAGAAACCAGGTTGAAGCAACAAGACCGCGAATCTTTTTTATTTTTTTTATTTTTTATTTTTTTAACCTTGGCACCACCTGCCGTCTTGCCATTGGCATCCTACCTTACATCCCGCAATGACCTCACTCTTTTGCAGTCTTGGACCCCGCCAGACCGTTTTTGCAACATGCCGCGCGGTCCGTTTCCTGGCGTCCCTGAACCATGTTGCAAGTAAATTCAGGCACAAGACTTTTATTCCACGGAAGAGTTTGCGGGCGTTTCAATCATATTTAGGGCAAGCGGCATACGGCCTCGGCAACAGCACAGCACAGCACGGTTCACCCATTTCCCCTGTCGCGAATTAAGGCGAGCCCAACAGACGTACAAGAACGCATAATCCAAGGCGGAAGAGGTCTTAGAGAGAGAGAGAGAGCGGGGGGGGGGGACAGCATTACCCGGGGGTTCCTTTGTCCCTCTTCTTCGCACTCCGTTTTCGCAGCATTCTTCATCATGCTTTAAGGCCGTTTTACGACCCCGCGAGGATTCAGCAGGGCGTGACTTGAACCCGAGAAGTCTTAAAATAAGGTATAAAAAAGCCGCCAATCAACATGAGACTGATGGTTTACGCCGGACTCTTACTTGATCAGCATCAGCATCAGCATCAGCACCAGCACCAAACAGCACCGCCTCACCATCACGAGACGCATTTTAGAAAAATAATCACTCTCCAAACTCTCTACCTGTAATACACCGCCCCAGGCTATAATGAATCTTAATCCGAAATAGACAGACATGGAGATTTCTACAAGTTCCTCGCTGCACAACACGATTCAGCAACCCCTAAAGATCATCGTCGGTGACGTGTTGGGGGGGGGGGGGGTGGTGGTGGTTAGCAAAAGAGAACGTCACCCACGTCAGGACTCTGGCACGGAAGTCTTCCGCAAGCAATTGGGTTCGGCGGACGGCCACATGGCAAACTCCCCAAAGAGCCTTTTCTTCTCAAAAGTGAGATGCCTTGATGTAAAGTGATTTGTGTAAGGGGAAGCGACCCGACGCAACGTAACTCTGTCGTAGGGCTCGTTCTAGCTTTTCAGTCTCTCTCTGTATCCGTAGGTAATCACCAATAAACTACGCCCCAATGGCCCCTTGACTCCTGAGAAACCGTTTAAACTCTCCCAGGATTCCGGGTTCTGTACCTTCCGCTGCATTCGACTGACACGGTTCCAGTGCTCTGTCACTGTCCATGAGGTCAGGTAAGGTGGGTAGGTATTCCAATAGACCTTAGGTACCTTACCGTTTCCTCTCCCCTCATGAATCAGTCTGGTGTGTTGAATTCTTCTTCCTTACTGATGTCATTGCCTGCCACGCCGCAAAGCTTCCCCCCCCAGGGTTCCCGCGTCAAAAGAGCTGTCAAACCCTTCTACAAACCCCTGAAAACGTCGCGTCCGAGGCGGACACGATGTTGTCACTGCTTGTTGCCCCCTCCCCGCCGCCCCCAAGATAAAAGTACCTTGTCAAGTTACTGCTAGACAGGGGCCAAAATGGCGGCACAGCAAGAGTAAGTACCTAGTGTATCCGCAGTCGGCGCAGTGTAATGGTGACAATATGCTGTGTGCGCGCGGGGGGTTGGTCCCTCCCGAGCAAGAAACCCAAGCAGCCGGCAAGGATAAGAAGAGGAAGACGAAGACGAAGAACCCCCCCCCCCCCCCCCCCCCCCATCTTCTGCCCCTTCTTCGACCCTTGACGTCATCGCCACGACGCCAGACCTCACGCCGCGTCTCACTTGATGAAGGAAATGGAGAAGTCTTGTCGCGATTTCCATGCGTTCCATGATCCCATCCCGTGGCGAAACCTGTCAGTTGGGTTTGAACGGCACTCTGTTATGCTCACCGTCTTTGTGTGCTTTGTGGAACACCCTCCCCCACCCATGAAGTAGATTCTCACTCTCCGTCGGTTTAGTTAATTTGATGATTCCGTTTCCCACGGTTCGGTCTGCTTGACAACCACACATCCATCAAGTTTGACGGTCTGGTGCGGTGTGCATGCGGTATCGGAACTTGAGGGGGTGTGTGTGTGTGTGTGTGTGTGTGTGTGTGTGTGTCTCCTGGGTGTTCTGCCACCATGTGGTTCTACCGCGTCGCATCGGCCCAAAAAGACAAAGGGGGCATGAACACCATCCACACCTCCATGATCCCATCGCCAAACTTGCGACGACTCGCGCATTTCAACTCGTCGCTACCTCATTCGTTTCCCAACCCCGGAGCGTCTCCGCCGATGGCAAGAAGAACACTGATCTGACGGGAAGGCAAAATTTTCGCCCCCAGGCCTTTTTTTCTTTTTTTTTCTTTTTTTTTTTGTCAGAAACCAGCACATTGTTTCCTTTGCACATGTTTCACCCGCCGCGATTCAGTCTCTAGACCGTCGAGCCTTCTTGGTCAATGATGTTCGCTGCAAGCCTGCAAAAGAGAGGAACTTGTGAGCGGAGCCGCCAGCGCTTTTTTCGTGTTTTCCTCGGTGTCTAGTATGTAGATCTTTGGCGATACCTAGGCTTGCGGGTACATTTCCCACGAAGCATCTACGATCGCCGCCGCCGCCGCAGCCAACATGCGAAAAATACCCCGAGGGCGATATCCTCACCAAAGTACCGAAATCCTTTTGTAAACCCGCCGTTTGGAAAAAGAAAAACAAATTGCGGGGCCGACTGTATCGCCGCCGCGCCGTCGGCGGGTATCGTGCATAAAACACACATCACCAATCATGTTTCTGGGTGAAGTGAGCATCAAACCTCCAAACCTTCAGGAATATCTATCTACTCTACCCTACCCAAGTCCACGCATAACGGAGAGCGAACCAAAGTCACATGGCATTTGCCGGCCGGCAAGGCGCCTTGTCATGCGGCGTGCCACAACTGGACAAAGGAAGCCCCCTTGGCCGGCACTTCGAACCCAATCACTCCTCACGGCAGCGGTCGTTGTCATCTACTGGATATCTATATGCGTTTGCAGCAAGGCTCGTGACTGCTGCCTTGTTGGGCTCTGGAACCCCCTGATCCCCGCCTCTTCACCGAGGATTGGTCTAACAGGAGCGGAAGCTGGGTATTCCTACTATGATACCTATGGTTGGTGATAAAACCCCCCGATAAGCCGCAAATCGAGATCTTCCATCGCTTGACACTTTTTGACATGTGGTGGCGCTTCTGCCCCGGCGGCCATCTCCACATGGCGGGCCTCACCGACCGTTTTCCGTGCGTCTGGCGCGGCCCGTAACCCCCAAAACACGAGAGAGAGAGAGAAAAGAAAAAAAGGAAAAAGCGGCCACTTTGCCGATACTCGAAGCCAGCGAAGCAAAGTTGGCATAATTCTTGGGACGTGTAGTAAACAACGTGTGTAGGTATACCTACCTACACGGCATGCGCGAAGATCAGAGTTCTTCTCTGAGAATTCTACCTTTTCTGCAGCGTGCCAAGCGAGACTCTGAGATACAAGACGAGATACAGTTGGTCGATCAAGCCCTTCCTCGAAACGCCTGCCTTTTGCTCCGGTGAGCCGGTCCCAAGAAACGCCAAGGTATCGCCGTTGCCGGACTTGGTACGAGGATGAGGATGAGGATGAGGATGAGCACTGAGAGCATCGGGAAAAACATTCTTCTGTGCTTGACTTTTGGTGCGTATGAATGTGGCCTCAATAAGCTTTTTCCATGTCGCCGGAAGGACGGTTGGGCGACATGACGACTCTGCCATGACCGCTACTGGGACTCGAGCTCGAGCTCGAGTCGAAGACGTCTGTTGATCCCGCGAGAACTGATTCAGGCCGTTTCATACGGCCTGGTGCAAATGTGAACGAATGAGTCGGTGCTCTTCGGCTATGCCCGAGTCGGTCGGTGTACGTATCCCCCCTCCCATCGTCGCGTGGAATTCGGTGACTTGAGACGACGTTCTGTACGTGTTTGAACCGTAAATATTCAAAGGAGACTAATCCTGCGCACTTGGGGTTTAGTTCTCTCCTCGGATACGGTAGGGCTCTTTCGAAGGCCAACGGAAACCGTAACGGAGGGTGTATGGATGGCTGGCCGGCCGGCCGGCCGGACGGTCAGCGGTCTGGAGTTCTCAGTCCTGTACCTACCTAGTTATTATCCATCTTCCGTAGCATCTTGGGAATGTTGTTCGGGCAGACGCGGACCAGGCGGTGAAATGGCGCCGAAGCACACCGAAGCACACCCCCCCCTCCACCACGGTCCTGGCGGGTTAGCTATCCTTCTCCAGGTTCGCTGCGAGTTTCCATCCTCCCGTGGCCTCGCCCCCCCCTCTCTCTCTTTACACGCGGGATACCCAGCGATCGCCCGGCCGCAAAGGACCCTGACGCACCGAACCCGCTGTAACCCGACTTACATTCCGTGGATAGGCTGGGGTGCCTCTACGGGATTACATCTGGTCAGCATCAGCCACAGACGAGGTTCCATACATGACATGACGGGATCGATGCCTGTGCCGCCATTTGGAGCAGGTCCAGAAGGGTAAAAACACACGTCTTTGCTGGTGGAAAAGTCGGGGTACTGCTGACGGGAAGCATTGTGGCACAGACAAGCATCAGCAACGCCCCCCCCCCCGTTTGAGCGGCCCAACCAACAACACAACCTACAGTACATAGGAGAAAGTGCCATGTCGTGCGTCTTCGGTCCCTCGATCTGGGCTCCGCACTGGCGGGAGATGCGGCTACGGGATGGGTGGGTGGGTGGGAAGCAGGTGACTGGCCAGAAAGTCACGAGGCTTTGGTTCGCCGGACCGTTGACGAGTCCAGGTGAGCACGCCGTGATATTGTCGCCATGTCCGCCCGTGACCGGTTTGGGCAGGAGGACACGGCAAAGTCGTGGTGGGATGCCATGCCAAACGGTCCGGCGGCTACACATGCTCTTCCTTGTCCGTATGAGTGTGAGGGGGGAAGAGGGGGAGGGGTCGTTGGTCAAAGGCGACATCCCAACATCTGGCATCTGACAGACCACTTGAGTATGTATGCCTGCCTACCTAGTACTTTGGTGATGAGTCGTAAAATTGGGGGTTCATGGCACTTTTGGGATCCGACGAGGCCAAAGAGGACACCGAAGGCCAGCGCGGAAAACGTGGAGTAAAGAAGGCAAGGATGACTACGATGCCACTCTTCGGTTGGCGTGCTCTTGTACATACCTTGGCATACCACATCCCGCGCCCAACGCGAAGACGAGATTCTAAAGTCTAAATCGTTTCCTCAACGCAGCCCATTTGTCGGGTTTGCGATGGGGTTACACGCGAGTGACAGGTACGAGATGTAGGTAGTGTGCGTGTGTGTGTGTCTGCCATGAGGAGGGCTCAGCTACAGAAACAACAAAAGAAAGCCCGACTCATCCTCCGTTGGTGGCCTGGGAGCCAGGCAGACGACCCAATGGAGGGGTTCCAAATGCAAACCTAGAACCCCCGGGATGGACTTTGGGCCATATTCCATGGCCAAAGCATGGCGATTGGGTGCGGTTTCGCGAGTTGGCTAGCAGCGCGGGATAATTCGCACCGCGGACATTTAGTGTTGGGTACGAAACTAGAAAGCAATGAACATCAAGGTACGGAATAACGGGGTCGAGAGCGCCATCCATCTCGGTTTCCAAGTACTGCAACATGACATGGCCCAGCTTTCTTTGTTTGAAATGCATGGCGAGATGCAGATGACAGGACTCAGGAGACCTTCGTGCGACTGGTGGATATTGCAACTGTTGGCCGGCTGCCCGAATAGGCATCCCCGTTTTTTTTTAACCATCCTTTTATCGCGCCTCTTCCCGCAGGCGTTATCAACGGTGGGCATATGAGACGAGAATGTGCTTTGATACCTAGGCGGTCCATCCATACTGCGGCAGCTATTTTGATAATGGCTGTTTTGATGAAATGAGGGGACTGTCTGGGGTTGAAAGAGGGGAGTGTTGGCGCGCCGGGGAACCAAAAACGGCTCAAGAAGAGCACGGGCGGTGGCTTCAGAGACGGATTCCGCTGTTAGGTTCTTCAGCCTTCGAGCAAGTCTGACCAGAAGCAGACTTCGGGTATGGGGCGATCCATCATCTTGGCGTGATGATAGTCTGGGGGTTTAATGAGTTGATCGTGGGCGATGAACCGATAAAATTGCACGTCGCACACCGATGCGCGTATGTCCCCAGATGCCCCAGATAGCGAAATGACAATCGGCGGCTCGTTCTTTTTCTTTTTTTTTTTTTTTTTTTTTTTTTTTTTTGATATCCAGATTCAAGGATGACACTGACGGGGTGCCCAGTTAAAAAGGCTGTGGACTGTGTAACCGTGGTTCGTCATCCGAGGTCCCATTGCATCCAGCAATATCCGGACGGGCCTTCAGGGCAGAACGGGTAGCGTCCGTATTTGATTGCAGGGCTGGTCCTTTGGCACAGCCTGCCAAGATCCAGGAGGAGGAAACAATAAAGGGCAGAGGGGCCAAGCCAAGAGATGAGGGTGAGATTGTGCCGTCTATCCACCACCGTATCAGTTTCTTTGACGGAGCGTTCGTTTTGTCTCGAGACTCCAAGTCTTTCGGTCTAATGCTTCAGAGTGCGAGATGAGTACGAAAGCGGGACGAGTCAAGGTGCCCCAGCGTGTTTGTACAATGTCAGGATATGCTAATACTTGATAATGTCCTCTACTCCGTACTAGCGAGCCAACTGATATCCTTGTCGTGTCGAGTTTGTGTTTCTTTGGGTCAGTCTCGCGCGTCTCATCCATCGTGATATGACGTGTTTGTCGGCCAGGTTCCGCCATAGGATCTAAGAGGCGATACTCCGTACGGAGTACACATACCTACACTTGGCTGGCGCACATTATTTTCCGAGTCAGGTATTCGAGGCTCAAGCCTTCAAGGACGCAGCGGGTGTGGTACCAAAGTACTGTGGCACTTGACATAGGTGTCTGCAAAGAACGAGAGCCAAGATCTGAAGCTCGACATGATCTGCAGCGGCCCCTTGGTCTTGATTCTCAACAGGGACATCGGGAATACTAACGAAGGAAACGATCAACAAAGGCAAAGACGGGCGGTAATACTCTTTACGGATAGAGGCGTCGTGTAGCCCAAAAAAACGAAAACAAAACTGTGTGAGGTTCTAGCGTGCATTTGGTTTGAGAAGAAAAGACCTTATTCTCGGCGAAACAGACAGCGGGAGCCAGTGACTGAAGAGATGCAGCAGGTTGGCGTGTCATTGGCGGGCTGAAGACGGAGATAATCTGGGCAGGCGAGACAGAATGTACAAAGTTGGAGGCTTTGGAGGACGGGAGAGGTTAAGGTAGCTCGAGACACTTCTCGGTGAGATGAAGGACGGTGTGGACGGCGTAGAGCGTAGACGGCATAGAGCGTAGACGGCGTACGGCGTAGACGGTGGAGGGCCGAGGGAGGGGTGACAGATAGACGGTCAGTGTCAGTGTCAAAAGTGGAAGGAACCCCCCATCTTTTGGATGGAGACATTGGTGGAACCGAGGCGCCCTGGTGGTGCAGCCTTGCAAATTAGGGGACCGCAAGTGCAGGTACAACGAGTACGTATCCGCCGCTCCATGCCGTGTACAGCAAGTACCTCCCATTTTCTTCCTCTGCCCGTCCTCACTCCTCACCACCGCCGTCAGCCCGTCCCGTACCTATCGTCCGTATCTCATCCAGTCCTGGACGCCGTATCCGTGTTTAGCTACGAACCGTCTTGCCTCGGTCATGGTCATCCGTGCCTGACCTGAGAGTCCGTTTCGCTTTGTTATCTCGACGGAAGACGGCCGACCCGAGAAATCCACGCCTGGTCCGCCCGAGGCGCCGCGTCTTCCTTTTCCCTATTTTGTATCTCAAAAATCCCCTCAGCAGAAAAAGATGGGATCGTGTTGTGAGTACCTAGGTAGCCTGGTTATTATTCTGCCTTTTCTGCCTGCCATGGCCGAAGCGACGCCGCGACCTGCCTTCTAGGGTGCCTGACTCCCGCCTGAGGAGGTAACCTGCAGCCCGTAATGTGCCAATGCTCCCCCCCCCCCCCCCCCCTTGGAGCCCTGTCTCCCCTGGTGGCCATGCACCCCAAGGTTTCCCCTCCGTGTAAGAGGTGAGAGAGGGTCGACATGTACATCTGCAGATCATGGCAGTGTAAAGGTACTTGGGAGTTTGGTCATTCCATCGCCACGGACGGCCGCCCTGGTGCTGACTGCCCTGCTGGGTGTTGCCCTGCCCAGGAACGGACGTATTCCGTTCTCGGCGCCCACTGAGCTTGCAGGGCTTACAGTGAATTATCCGCGTCATTACTCGCCGCCGGCCCCAGGTTTGGAGTGCTGTATCATCGCTGCAATCCTCGGCCGTGTCATGGACTCATGGCTCAAAGCCCACGGTGTTGAAAACCTGCTCGAGTTCCATTAGCTTGTACTTGTCGATATCATTCTTACATTTCGCCTCCCGTCAGCTCTGATCTGATACCGCCCGGTCGTGGTGCCGTCCTATTTCATGATAAGGTAGCCGCCAGATACGGATAAGAGGACGGGAATGACACAAGATTACAGAGATACTCTCAAGGCGTGTTCGTAAAAGGTCAGCTCCCATGCTCCACCTTTTTGCCATCATCATCCATGGCACTCACTACCTGAGCATATCTTGATCTACTCTTACGTTTCAAACGGAATCTGGGACCCACGGCAGAAAGAAGAAACACCAAAGTGCAGGGAGTGATGAAATCTGCCAGACATTTTGTCGATACAGCTACCTACATCCGTTCCGATCTCAGATCTAGAGGTAAAATCGCGACTTGCTCCGTAGTAGCGCTGTCTTTCGTATATTCACCTCTTTGTCGTGTAATATGCCTCAGCTGCCCAATGTCTCTCTGCATGTATTTGTATCTCACATACGACCAATCTCCTTGACGGATATTCCAAGGTGTTCAGCTGCCGCGCAAATAAACACCAAAGTACCTACGGATAGTGTAGACTTTCAGACCCCCCAATCGCATCGTCCCAGTCCACGATCCAGGCCATCTAGGCCGCCCAGGCCATCCAGAAATCGGCTGCACATTTTGAGGTTGCAAATACCCCAAGAGTCCAGACCTTTCTAATGGTCCATCTAAGCTCCCATAGTAGCCTTCATTCCGGACACCGACACGTCGGCAGTCGATATTACCCCAAGCCATCTCACGGAGCAAGCTTGCAACGGGCTAGAGTTACAGCCACGTCGCCGACTTGCACGGAGCGAAGGAGTCCAGCAATAGTTGAATCATCACGACCGGAGCCGGCGGTATCTTGAAAGTACACTTCCACTTCCGGAAACCCCCGCACCGTCACCCATAGCCATCATCACCACCACCACCACCAATCCGATTCCTCCGACTCTGACTCTTCTTTTCTTCCGACGTGAATCTTCAAGTCCAGAAACTCCTTCCCCCACGAAACCCAGACCCGACCCTTCACGGCCTGCTGGGCCGAAACAAGGCCGCATCAGCAGTCTCAATACTCGGTATCGGCCTCGCCATCAGCACCAATACCCGTCGTCTCGGCATCAGCAAAGCACCGCAGTGTGGCACTCGTACACCCAAGCCAATGGACCAATACTCTGTAGTCTGCACTTCGTACTCCGTACCCAATCCAATATCAGGCTCACGCACCTCACCTCACCTCACCTCAGACTTTCTCAGTCAGCCTGCCTTCCGACTATTGACTATTGACTATTGAATGCCCCCCCCCCCCCCCCCCCCCTGCCTCCACCTTTCCGAATCGCTGGGCAGAAGGAACAAGATTTGAGACAAGAGTCACCGAAGACGCGTCTTCAGCTGAGAGGTGTAGCCAGCCGACCACGTAGGACCTACCAGCACACAGCAGCTGCTATGTATTGATGCTGCTTCTGCACAGTCCCTTTTGTCCCGACCTGGCCAGCTGGGCTGAACCCGACCCGACGTGTGTCCAGCTCCCCCGGACTTTCGCGTTAGGCTCTCTCTGCCTTGCTTCCATTCCATTTCGGTGAGGTGTGTCACCATCTAAACGGACGTGGAAGTCATTGGCGAAAGCCCCGTCTCACCGTATTTCTTTCCGTTTTCCGTTTTTTCTCCCCCTTGCGCCCTTTCCTGTTCCTTCCACCCACCCCTGCCCGCGGTTGCCCTACCTTACTCGGTCTCCACCAGGAAGGGGGGTGGTCGCCCACTTCCTTCCCACTCTGCACAGACCGGGAAGTCCACCCCTGCCCCCCCCCCCCTCCTTCCCTCCTTCTCACAAGTTCACAAATGTCACTCCGTCTCCTTCCCCCTTCCTTCCCACACCCACACTCAGCAGGTTCGGTACCTACGGTGCTCCTTCCCGCCACGCGAGGCCAACCTGAAAATAATACGGGGAAAGGACCGCACCCTCGCACTTGCTGCCTTGCAGCCCACAATCCCATAATCCATAATAACCCAGCCTTCGCCCGCGTCCATCCATCGTGACGGCCTCCTCCCGAATCTCTTTCTATTCTCTTCCGCCACTACATCATCTCGCCATACCGCAGTGACCGAACATCCCAAAGGCCTCGACGATCTCACAATAAGCCTCCTCCACCGTCTCATACCAGTCTACACACATACGCCTTTACTCACTACCGGTCCCCCGATCCGCCCTCTACTCGATCCAGACCACACCGTCTAGTGGTGTCTCGCCCTGCCTCATTCTCACCGGCAACCGAACAAAGGAAAACGAACATTTCCTACACTTCCAGTAAACCCTTTTTCTGGACCCTTGGATATCCGAACGCCCGCCCGCCTGGATCCTTTGTCGCTTTCGTCGACATTTCCAGCACACCCTCCCGTCATCCCGAATTCCAGAGTCCAGACTTCCCTGCTCTCCTCCGCCGCCCGGCCCAGCTATAACTCAAGGATCCCTGTCTTGGAGGCTTCAATCACTTCAGCTGCGATCACCCCGGCTTTTTCAAAACACTATCAGCCAAACAACTCATCTACGCGAAATCCAGCATCACGCGTCATTTCCCTCACGGTCAACACAAACAAACCATAAAGGGACTGTCCATTCCATCCCATCTTGCATTCCTACCCGCCTTCCAGTCCATAACTAGCCGCCACTATCAGACTCCACACAAAATGTCACCGGCACAAGACCAGTATTACTACGTTGTTCCCAACGCCAGCGCCATGGACCCCAACGCTAGAGAATTCGACCTCGCTTCACAAGGTTGGATCCAAGCCACCATCATCGAGGATGACGATCTCATGTTTGGCGGCAAGTCTCTGAGCACTTGGTATGAGGAGGAGAGAAGACGTCTGAGCAATGGTTCCTCAGACGAGGAGGAGCACCGCGGTCGCCAACGGGTAAGCTACAATGCCTTGGGGAAGCCTCTTCGAGACACGCGACTAACAATTCCCTAGGTCCGCAAGCACCACTCTTCTCACAAGCATCACCATCACTCGTCGAAGCAGCACTCTACCAGCTCCGACAAGAAGCACTAAGCGCGCCCTCTTTCAGCTCTCTATCTCCTTTGGTATAGACCGCCATCTCCGCGATACCCTTTGCGAGCGCTTGAATTTCATACCCCTTTCACGTCGACTTTGTGCATCCAATACGGGTACCTGGATCGACTTCCACGCCCTAATTTCCTCACCTCCTCAATACCCTCCTCTGTGTGGCATTGGGTACACCGGCGTTTGTTTTTATCAGCGTTGCATGTTTCGGCTGGGTCACTAGAACGGCTTCATGTCCAAGGAGAGGACAACAATCGGCATGGGAACCACGGGAGCCAAAGCAGAAATCCGTATTTCTCCGGCACCACCTTTCGTTTTAATTGTTATTGCATTGGTCGCAACGGACTGCGACAGCGTCACGATTCGCATCTAGACGGGTTTGGGGCATCATCACCAGACACTCTCCGACTTGATTGTCGAGAGCTGGCTTGTTATTTTGCATGAGTGGATACATGTCAACTCGGGGGATTTGTGCAGCGGAGGCATCATACACGTACTGTACCCCGTGGCGGGACGGCGTGGCTACAGGTTAGCAAGATAAGACTGTTGCGAGGCAACGAAGGCGAGCAGTGGAGCTTCATCTCGAGCTGCGTAGCGGTGAGAGCTGCGCCTCGGCTCGGAGCATTGGGGCCCACGAGAATGAATACAAATCAGTTAAACTACTACTTTGTGCCAGATTTATGATGGGGTGACTGTTGCACAATTTACTGTACGAAAGATTGCTACTGTGATGCATCCGAGCTTTGAACAGACATCATCGCCAACAACGTACAGTAGTGCTCCCCCCACGCTCAACAGTTGAGGCATAGGTAGGTATAGCAAAATCCAACAGACGGGTTTCGTCAGCGACTTTCCTCTGCAGGTCCAGCGCCGGGAACAGCGAATCGAGCCTCGCCGGGCTGCAGCTACCGCGCCCGCAGTTCAAGTTTAGGCTTGTGTCCGGAGACGAGAAAGTCTAGAGAGCAGCGTTGCATACGACGCACATGCATGCGCGCTAAGGAGTCGGCGTGTCTAGGTAATTCTCCTCCTTGTCTGCCGCGATTTCTTTCTGCGCGGGTTTACGGAGTACTGCCCGTGGTCTCGGGTACGGCCGGCGGGCGGCTGGTACCGGGGGGTGCTGGGGGTGCTTTGGGGGGGCCGGCGCATGGAGAGTGCCAGAGGCAGATGGGGGTCAGGGCCTGACTCGGGGTCGTCTGGGTGGGTGTGTTCTTGACTCTTGTCATTCCGTTTTTTCTTCTTTGTTGCGTACTGCGCGATGTCTTTTTTTTTTATTTTTTTTTTATTTTTTTTATTTTTTTATATGTGTCCGGCATCGGCGGTGGAAAAGTTTTATGGGATTGGAGATGGTGTGTGGGATGGGTTGGCAATGCCGAATGCCGTAATTCGGGTTCGGTGGGTGACTGCCACCAACGACCTAGGTATGGATGATCATCGCGATAGGTTTAGGGGTGAAGGACTAGGTTTGCTTTTGCTATTGACTTTGAAGTTTTAATCCTAATGTCGTGATCTCCTTTAGGGTAGCTTGTATAGTGTGCGTGTGTGTGTGTGTGTGTTGATAGCCGTGATGTTGTCGGGTTCAGGTTCACGCCTCGGTATGTGATGAGTGAGTACTGAGCTCGAGTGCTTCATCGAATCGATAGACCTAGTCACCGGATATCCCCATTCCTTGCGGTGTCGGGCAACCTCGTCGTCATATTGAGGCAAGCTGGCAAGTCCATGCGTGAGTGACTACACGCGTCTGGTAAGTAAGGAAATGCCAGGACGCACAATCTGTCAATCATTTCTGGGACTTCAACGCGAGAGTGTGATAGATGTAACGGCTGTCCTTGGTAAAGTATTAGACGCAGGACGTTTACGGTACTAAGTAGAACTTGACCTTGACTGGTCAAGTAACATGACTCTGAAGGTCGACTTCGAGTCAAGCTTCAAGGGT